CACTATTGCTAAAGGTTAACGCCTATGACCTCATTTATACAAGTATTTGTAGCCACATGCGCATATGTATACATTTGTTTGTATGATTCTATGAGTGTCTAACTATTCAAGAGCAACTTTGATAAGCACAATTTATTACGCGCTGTTCTACAAACCATTTAATTAGGTAATTTGAATGCTCATAGTAAGTATGTAGTCTTTAAATAGCGAAGACGTTACTTAAATATTCAGAATTGCAAAAATCTTTCTAACTCATAAAGTAGCACAAAATGGAAAGTTAACACCCTCAAGCAACCAGACTAAAATTAATTTATTTTAAGGGCCATTGTACTACATTGCCAATAAAAAGTCAAAACCCATTGTGGGTTCACTAAATTTATAATGTTCTTCACCTGTGTCAGTGAACGCGCAGTTTTTCATCTGCTTTGCGATATTTCATGTACAAACAGTCAATAAACTTAGTTAATTGAGTGTCATGCCGGACACGCAAGGATACACAGTGGGGAGTGTATGGGATCCGAGTGAGTGAGTGAATGTTATTGTTTGTAAAACTGATTGAATTTTTCGAAAACCCCGCAGTTTTCATTTCATTAAAACCAGGGACCGAATCTCTTGCGATTTCAAATTGTTTGAGCGATATCTATAAAAATTATAACTAAGAATTACATTTCGATTTTAATTTAATCGCTCAAAAAAAAAACATCATATATCGAGTTATACCTTTTTGATCAAAAATAAAACTAATTTCGAGTGTTATTTTTTTGCTCTGAAGTAATAATTATTTTGTGAGTTGTTTTCTGTTTGATCAAAAATATTTATTACATTATGAGTTTTATATTTTTGATCAGAAATAATCATTATGTTTTGAGGAGAGACTGAAAATAAAAGTTATTTTACAGTTTTTGACATCAAAAAGGCATAGTGAAAAAATTATGCTATAGCTTTTTCAAAGGTACCATTAAACTCATCTCACATTGTAGATTGTGATTCCTCCATGACTTTTAAACATCTGAGTTTTATCATTTTGAGCAAATAATACCGATTATGTCTGCTTTTTATTTTTTTAAGGCAAAAATAAAAGTTAAAATTTGCCTTTTACTTTTTTTAAGCAGAAAATAATCGGTAATTGTTGCCTTTTATTTTTTCAGGCAAAAATAAAAGTCAAAGTTAAAAGTCAAGTATTCCAGAGTTGTGTATACTCGAATTTAATAGTTTTAAAGCTCCAATCTGGATTTTAATAATTCCCTAATACACAAATACCAGCGTTAGATCAAATCTAAATATGTATGTACTATGCAAGGCCGTATTTAGGGGGGGGGGGGGGGTTGTAGGTGTTCATAAGACGCAATTCGCGCAATTTAAAAAAATGATATAACATGCCTTATAAACGGGCTTGGTCTATAGATATGCAAGGAAGAACCTCTAATTTTTTTAAAAAGGGTTGCCACCTGTTACAATTTTTTTTTCGTGCAGAGCATCAGATCTACACCGTTCTCTCGAGTTTCAAAATGTGGTGTCAAATTAAAGGTATTCACCTATAGACGTGATTTGGTTTTTTTTAAAGGGGCGCCGCCTAATTAAAAATGCATTGTTTAAAATATGATAGTAAAATATCGCAATATGGGTTTTTAATAGAGTTGTTACTTACTAAACACATTTATAACTATGAATGGTAAGTAATGTATTAAGGGCAGTCGATATTGCTATCAATCGAAAGCTAGTTAAGAGTTGTTAACTAGATGACAACTCTCCAAAATTCGCATACATTTATACAAAGGCCATTTAACTAGCTGTCGTTTGATACCAATATAGAATATCCTTAATACGTTACTTACCTTTCATAGCTATATATTTTTTAATAGGTGGCAACTCTTAAAGGCACGAACATATTAATTTAGTATAAAAACGCTTTCACTTTATGCCCATAGATTTATAATTAGGTGGCAAACCTTAAAAAAATTAAACCCAAGGCACATCTCTAGGTGAATACCTTTCACTTGGCACCTCATTTAAAATCGAGAGAACGGGGTAAATCTGGCGCTCTGCACAAAAAAAAGAAATTTTTAACAGCTGGAAACCCTTTAAAAAAATAAGCCGTTCTTCCTTGTAGATCTATAGACCGAGCCCGTTTATATGACATATTATATCATTTTTTAAAATTGCGCGAACGGTGTAAGTTTTGTAATTTTTTAAGCGTGGCAACCCTATTCAAAAAAGTTGAACTTTATTGCACTTCTAGAGGCCCTGCCTTTCATTTTACGCTTAACTTTTTTTAATACAACGAGCGGTGCAGGTTTTATAATTTAAAAAAAGGTTGCAACCCTTTTTAAAAATCTCATACCTTGTTGTACATTTAGAGGCCAAACCCTTTAGTTTTGAAAATCGAATAATCGGTGCAGATCTGATGCCGTTAACAAAAGATGCCTTCATGTATTGTATTTATACATAGTACATACATATTTAGATTTAATCTAACCCTGGTATTTGTGTATTAGGGAGTTATTAAAATCCAGATAGGAGCTTTCAAACTATTAAATTCGAGTATACACAACTCTGGAATACTTGATTTGGAGCTTAAATGGCCCAAAAAAATAAAAAGCAAAATTACCCGGAATTATTTGCTCAAAATAATAAGTCAAAAATAACATAAATTTTTTGCTTTTTATTATAAAATGCATAACCGGTAAGGTCTCTGGTTTTGAATTTAATTTTTTTCATCAAAAATAATGATTATTCTTTGAGTTTTATTATTTTGATTGAAAATAAATCGTATAGAGCGTTATTTTTTCTCTCAGAAATAAAAATTAACTTTTCAGTCTTATTTTTTTGCAGATCGAAAAACTCAAAACGCCTCACTTCACCTAAACTCAATTCGCCACACCTTAACTCATCTCAACTCACCCTAACTCACCACACCTCAAGTCACCCCACATCAACTCAACTACCTTACCTCAAGTCACCTCAACTCACGTCATCTCAGTTCAGTGAAGCAAATCACAAATACATTTTATTTCTGAACTGATCAGCGCGTATTTGCAAGCCAATTCAACAATATCATGTACACATTCGCGAAAAATGCGAATGTTGAAGCGAGGGTTTAAAATGCAAATATTCGTAACATCTCTGGTATGTACATACCCTGTGGGGAAAATCTCTAGTTCTGAACTGGGGCGCTTCTAGTACATTTAGACCCAGTACTGGTTCGCGATAAATCTCTTTTGCATGCAAGCAACTGGCGAATTTAACATGGCGATGTCCTAGGAAGTGTCAATTGCCCCCCGCTGCATCCCTTTTTCGATAGTTCCGAACTAGTCCTAAATTCTATAGTTCCGAACCAGTTCTAAAATCGACAGACGAAAGAAAAAAGTATCATGATTTTTCAATCTTTTCGGTTCTTCCGTGTGCGATTTTACATTATTTTCAAAGAAACGTTTTTTCAATTTGAAATTAAATTTGTTTGAATGATTGTAAGAAATGTACGTTTACATACCTTGCTGTAGCTGACTTTGCAGAGGTGCTCGCTGTTATTGGTTAGATTCCAGACGGCCCCAAGATGTTAATATGTTAACACAAAGCTTTGTTTTGTATTACCAAACTATGAAATAGCATCTGCGAAGCGCAGAATAGAAGCGTATTTGAACGAAAAAGCCGCCGAACACATATCTATGTAAAGTAAACAAGCCCCCCGCTGCATCCCTTATTCGATAGTTCCGAAATAGTTCTAAATTCGACAAATGGGATCTAGTTCGTTCTGCATCCCTTTTTCTATAGTTCCGAACCAATTCTAAATTCGTCACTTTAGATATAGATTTGTAGTGGGAAAAACTGAAAAAATTAGTTTCTTAAAAGTACCACTTTTCGCCGATTTTGGACTGGTGGGGATCTAGTTCCTATCGGACTAGTTCCTTTTTGGCGATAAAGACCTAGTACGGAACTAGAAATTTGATTCACCAGTCCACGGTTTCCATGCAGGGTATGCTCGTACAAATGTAAACACATATGTATGTATGTGTGCAACGCTAGCAGCGAATCAGTTTGCGTATTATGTATATTTTCTTCAGTGCTCTGCCCACAAATACGCGCTGACCAGTTCAGAAATAAAATGTATTTGTGATTTGCTTCGCTGAACTGAGATGACGTGAGTTGAGGTGACTTGAGGTAAGGTAGTTGAGTTGAGTTGGGGTGAATTGAGTTGTGGTGAGTTACGTTTAGGTGAAGTGAGGCGTTTTGAGTTTTTCGATCTGCCAAAAAAAAATAAAACTCAAAAGTTAATTTTTATTTCTGAGAGAAAAAATAACGCTCAAGAAATGAGTTTTATTTTCGATCAAAATAATAAAACTCAAAGAATAATTATTATTTTTGATGAAAAAAATAAACTTAAAAAATAATGATTATTCCGGATCAAAAATATAAAACTCATAATATAATGATTATTTTTGATCAAAAAGAAAACAACTCACAAAATAATTATTTATTATATGTATATTACAACGCTCGAAAAATGAATTTTATTTTTGATCAAAAAAATATAACTCAATAAATGATTGTATTTTCTGAGCAATACAATAAAACTCAAAATGTGATTATTATGATTGATCGCAAGTATTATAATCTCAAAATAATGATTCAAAGTTAATTTTTTTGATAAAGCTCATAATGATTACGGGCCCTGATTAAAACACAAAAGCTGGGTCATTACATTTGCATTTAAGTCCGGAGGCATTGTAATAACATCTGGGAGCGAATTTACTTTGAGCTTTGTACACAGTGTTATAGGCCGGCTAGACCATTGTGTTTTATTAAATTAATTCAATGAAGATTTTACCTAGTATATATACATAAATATGTATGTTAAGGGCGATAAATTTATCTTATAATAATTTTGATTATAATCAAAATATGTTTACATACAACTTTTTTTCATACTTTCAGCTTAACTTAAGCAAGCAAGCACAGCAATCGAATATTCAGTCTGCAAGGCATTGCGATTTTCTGCCGGATTAAGAAACAGTATCGCATACTTATCGCCTCCACACAAATCATAACATTATTTTGAAGGGGCAATAAATTTGCAGCAAAGAATTGGCAAATGGCTGAGCAACAAAAACTTTCGCTTTGCCCACGCTTGGTGGACTATATGGCGATTGTGGGTGCACGCAGCACTCCGCCCATGCCGAAGGGATTGTCTGGCAATAAAACGCCACCCGTGCAGGTGAGTAGTAGTCATCGTTTCGAGTAAAAACGTTTCGCTGTTTTCGTACAAAAATAGATACCTTCGTGGTACAAGTGAGTGAACTTCATTTCATTAATCTTTAGCGTTTTGAGTAAGTCAAAATGCATGTATCCATTAAACAACAATAATTTAATTTTTATTTAGCAATGACAAGAGAACTGCATTCCTGAAAAAAAACGAAAGTAAAATATTGTGAGTTTTAGCGCATGGATTTTCGTTCCTCACGAATTTGTTAGGCAATAAATCGATTGAATAAGAAAATATTTAATGATAATTCGTCAACAATCCACACTTCTATCCATAATATGAAACTGTTAGTAAGTACCAGATGGCTCCCGACTTCAAAGCCCAAGTATACCTTTGGGTACTTTGCCTAGAAAAATACCTCTTCAACGAACGGCTATGTTGAAATTGTGACTGCGTCAACTGGTAAACGATTGTCCCGGTGCACCGCGGCGTCGGAATTTTCAATTATGTATACTGTATGAGCACTCTGAGAAATAATTCTTTTCGATCATTTTCCGGTGATTACTTCCGAGGTTCTCTACTTTTAGAAGAGAGTGTCTCTATATATTTTTTCATATTTTTCGTGTTTGTCGTCAATAAAACCCAAAGCCAAAATTTTGATAAGAAGTAGCTCCTAACCTAAGGCTACCGCGAGCAATTAAGGTAGAATATAATACTTGAAATATCCTTAAGAAAGATTATTCTATCAAATATTTTGATCTATAGGCATAGGGTTAGTTACGTCTAATCTTCAAAGAAAATCCTGGAGGCTGCTGAGGCTCATCGATGTGATCAGGCGAGGCTTTCAGAAATTTTCTTGAACGTCATGATTTTTCCTGCCTAACGGTAAATTCAAATAGATTTTGCCTTCTCTTCCCAGACCTGTCTACTCATTGCGATGGTTCTGAGGCTGGGTTGTACCCTTATAAGGAGTCAACATAAGGTTCGTGTTCTTCGTTAAGTAATCGGTGGTCATAAGAATACGATGCTCATCAAGTGTCTACAGCCAGTCTCAGCTTCATGCATTGTGCTTTACACTTGTTTAGTTCAAACGCCTTTCTTTTGTTTTTAATTAGTGTGCACAACTTGATTAGATATAAAAAATGCTAGACAATGTAGCTCTTACAAGTTATTTTATTTGAATTGGTGACTGTGTTGTCAGACTTTGTCGATTTCCAAGAAAGGCTAGATCCACGTTTACATATAGAAATTTAAACATCTATATTTTTTCGAAAAAACCTATACATACCATAGAGCCGTTAGGTACTGTTGCAACACATAAGTACATATCGCCACCTGAAATGCAAAAAAACGTAACAAGCATCATCACTGAAATGGAAAAGGTCGTGACTAATAGTTTTTTTAAACGATGTGGGGAGTTGTAATTCGATGAAATCCATTATATTTATCAATCAAAAAGTTGNGTGGGGAGTTGTAATTCGATGAAATCCATTATATTTATCAATCAAAAAGTGAATTTTTAATTGTTTACTAGTTACGGCTTTTTGGATTTCAGCGACGATTTTTGTTACGTCTTTTTGCATTTCAGGTTACGATATGTANTTTCCGGTGATTACTTCCGAGGTTCTCTACTTTTAGAAGAGAGTGTCTCTATATATTTTTTCATATTTTTCGTGTTTGTCGTCAATAAAACCCAAAGCCAAAATTTTGATAAGAAGTAGCTCCTAACCTAAGGCTACCGCGAGCAATTAAGGTAGAATATAATACTTGAAATATCCTTAAGAAAGATTATTCTATCAAATATTTTGATCTATAGGCATAGGGTTAGTTACGTCTAATCTTCAAAGAAAATCCTGGAGGCTGCTGAGGCTCATCGATGTGATCAGGCGAGGCTTTCAGAAATTTTCTTGAACGTCATGATTTTTCCTGCCTAACGGTAAATTCAAATAGATTTTGCCTTCTCTTCCCAGACCTGTCTACTCATTGCGATGGTTCTGAGGCTGGGTTGTACCCTTATAAGGAGTCAACATAAGGTTCGTGTTCTTCGTTAAGTAATCGGTGGTCATAAGAATACGATGCTCATCAAGTGTCTACAGCCAGTCTCAGCTTCATGCATTGTGCTTTACACTTGTTTAGTTCAAACGCCTTTCTTTTGTTTTTAATTAGTGTGCACAACTTGATTAGATATAAAAAATGCTAGACAATGTAGCTCTTACAAGTTATTTTATTTGAATTGGTGACTGTGTTGTCAGACTTTGTCGATTTCCAAGAAAGGCTAGATCCACGTTTACATATAGAAATTTAAACATCTATATTTTTTCGAAAAAACCTATACATACCATAGAGCCGTTAGGTACTGTTGCAACACATAAGTACATATCGCCACCTGAAATGCAAAAAAACGTAACAAGCATCATCACTGAAATGGAAAAGGTCGTGACTAATAGTTTTTTTAAACGATGTGGGGAGTTGTAATTCGATGAAATCCATTATATTTATCAATCAAAAAGTGAATTTTTAATTGTTTACTAGTTACGGCTTTTTGGATTTCAGCGACGATTTTTGTTACGTCTTTTTGCATTTCAGGTTACGATATGTAATATAACTAATGTGACCAACTATTTCATAGCTCAAAGAAGTACAGGTTAGGTTGGGTTAAGTTAACGCCACGAGCCGATTACGAAATTTCGAATGCAGCTAATTTCGATCCCTGAAAGCTCAGTGTTTGTTCAGAGTTGCTAGCCAAAATGCTTCCATCTTAGCCTCGCGAAGNGCTCAAAGAAGTACAGGTTAGGTTGGGTTAAGTTAACGCCACGAGCCGATTACGGAATTTCGAATGCAGCTAATTTCGATCCCTGAAAGCTCAGTGTTTGTTCAGAGTTGCAGCCAAAATGCTTCCATCTTAGCCTCNAACCTAAGGCTACCGCGAGCAATTAAGGTAGAATATAATACTTGAAATATCCTTAAGAAAGATTATTCTATCAAATATTTTGATCTGTAGGCATAGGGTTAGTTACGTCTAATATTCAAAGAAAATCCTGGAGGCTGCTGAGGCTCATCGATGTGATCAGGCGAGGCTTTCAGAAATTTTCTTGAACGTCATGATTTTTCCTGCCTTACGGTAAATTCAAATAGATTTTGCCTTCTCTTCCCAGACCTGTCTACTCATTGCGATGGTTCTGAGGCTGGGTTGTACCCTTATAAGGAGTCAACATAAGGTTCGTGTTCTTCGTTAAGTAATCGGTGGTCATAAGAATACGATGCTCATCAAGTGTCTACAGCCAGTCTCAGCTTCATGCATTGTGCTTTACACTTGTTTAGTTCAAACGCCTTTCTTTTGTTTTTAATTAGTGTGCACAACTTGATTAGATATAAAAAATGCTAGACAATGTAGCTCTTACAAGTTATTTTATTTGAATTGGTGACTGTGTTGTCAGACTTTGTCGATTTCCAAGAAAGGCTAGATCCACGTTTACATATAGAAATTTAAACATCTATATTTTTTCGAAAAAACCTATACATACCATAGAGCCGTTAGGTACTGTTGCAACACATAAGTACATATCGCCACCTGAAATGCAAAAAAACGTAACAAGCATCATCACTGAAATGGAAAAGGTCGTGACTAATAGTTTTTTTAAACGATGTGGGGAGTTGTAATTCGATGAAATCCATTATATTTATCAATCAAAAAGTGAATTTTTAATTGTTTACTAGTTACGGCTTTTTGGATTTCAGCGACGATTTTTGTTACGTCTTTTTGCATTTCAGGTTACGATATGTAATATAACTAATGTGACCAACTATTTCATAGCTCAAAGAAGTACAGGTTAGGTTGGGTTAAGTTAACGCCACGAGCCGATTACGAAATTTCGAATGCAGCTAATTTCGATCCCTGAAAGCTCAGTGTTTGTTCAGAGTTGCTAGCCAAAATGCTTCCATCTTAGCCTCGCGAAGGTTGGCCTGTCAGAACACCCATCACTAGCCCTTGAGAGGTAACGTGTTTTAAAGTGCCCTATAAAAACATTTCCTGCAGCAGAGAAACGTCTTATTTTCCTTTTTAATGTCACAAAAGGACTCGGTTTCTCCTAGCCCAATAGCAGTTCGTGCTTCGACAATTCTGTCTGCAATATCCGCAGGCGCCGTGTTCAATATATGTATATTAAGCATCAGTTAGGTGTAGTTCCTAATGCTCCGCTTATTCCTATTTTACAAGTGTATCCTTCTCTAGTGAGTTCCACCAGACAATTGTGCGAGAGACCTCACCTTTTACCGATGGCTCCCCTACAGCAGTACAAGGCAACCGAAAACTTTCTTACCCTTTCCTCAATGTTAGGCTTCCACGACAGCCGCCGTTGATCACCCACCTAGTTACCTCGTTCAGGTAACCTTGAGCCATATCAAAAAGGTTTTATAGAAATCGTCCCTTAACCAACAGTAACACATCATTTACATAGGCGATCACCCGACAGCCCACTTTTTCCAGTTTTTCTAGAAGGTCGTTTACAACCGCCATCCAGAGCAGGGAAGAGAGAACACCACCTTGTGGAGTGCTCCTAATGACTCTGAACTGAGTGCAGGCACTGCCGCAATCCACCGCAACAGTTCTGTCACGAAGTAAGCTGTAGATAAGCCTTATTAGGTTGGTTTCAACCCCCAGATTATGAATACACTTGACTATTGCCTCAATGTGTGCAGGGCGATATTCACCGACCTTTTCTTGCAATAACCTCTTGAAAGGCAGTTACGAGGAATCGTATTTCGTATGTATAGGTCTATCAGTCTCTCTAGCGTTTTTAGCAAAAACGAAGAGAAACTGATTGACGTAAAATACCTATGGGAACCATGGTTGCCACTCGCCAACATTTTTTTCTACCAAAATCTCTTAAGAAAAGTTACCAAAAGTTACCAAATCTTCACTACCAAAATCTTCACTTCTTCAGTGAGAAAAAAATATACTGAATAACACTGCTATATTTCATAACAAATACGTATATACTTACAGCCCGGTT